TCGGTGCTGTCCTTGCCTCCGGACGCCTCGGCCATGGCGTTCTTGATCTTCTCCGAGATCTCTTCGAGGATGGCCGGTGGCACGGTGTCGGCATCTTCCGACTTTGCGATCAACTGCAGTTTCACCTGGCCGCCCTCCCTGGGCACGCCGAACGACGACCGCAGTAAAACGACGACGACGGAGACGAGGAGCGAGGCAGTGGCGACAAATGGACTGGTCATCGTCGTCTTGTCCTCTGAAACATCGGTAAATGGACGGTAGTGAACGGTTTCAGCGAGAAGGGTCACACGGCTGGTCGGTCTTCGCTAGCGGAACGCGATCGTCGACGATCGGAAGAACAAGTCACGCACATTCACAATGCGTTTGCATTTATGTCTAGGCGATCAAAGATTACAGTAAGACAGGCAAACAACGACCTTGTCCCCCTACGGATCCTCGTCCCTGCTCAGGCAGTTTGCCACCTACCGACCGATGGACCGAAACAGGCTGCAGTTAAATGGGCGCCGACGAAACTGGACTCAGCCTCGACGACCGCCTCAGTCCTCCCGTACGACGACGACGACGAGAAACCGCGCGGTCGGAACGACGTTTGTTCCTAAGTCTCAGAAACGACTGGGCATTTGACTTCCCACTTCCCATGGAGAACCAGTTTCAGTTGGGACCGTAGGTACAGCGGTGAGGTACGGCGACAAACTGCAGGACGACACTGCGACACCGAGACGACAACAACGGCGCGGTCGCCGGTGACGACAACGAGGGCACAGTTGTGCATACGGCGCTGTTCACTTGCTGTAATTTGACGATTGCCACCACCTTAATGTTTTTTGTACTGTGCAAATACACAGTACGCGCAATGGTATTCTCGACGCTGTCATCGATGGCGCGTGTTTGTCCGATTTGTTTGTACGTAAAAACGGACATTCATGAAAGAACGAACGGATTCGGTTGATCTGTCGATATGCCTACTAACCTACCGTGTGACCAACGAAACGGGTCCCTCTGTGAGCAACATGCGCCTCATGCCAATATAAAAAATTAAATCATGTCAAATGCGGCAATTATAATCTACATTTCTCGAACTGAAAATTAATAGCCGCTCAACCGGAGCGGTTGCTCTGTAGCGTAGTTGGATGCCACGCATAACAACCGGAGAAAAGTCTCGCATACTTGCGAGTGCTGTCGAAATGTGTCATTTGTTGAATCGACGGTACCACTGTCTGATCTACTCAGGGGCACTGTTAACACATATCTCACTGCATAGCCTGTTCCAAAGGTGAACCACATATCCTTGATTGGTCATGCAGTATTTCATCAAATGGGTATCCACGTGAAATGCCACACGTTCATGTAAGAATACGTGATACAGCTTTTGGACGGATTACCACAGAGGATCAGGTGATATTCTTTACATGAATGTCACCTCATTTTCCATGGCCGCTTCTCCTTTCGGGTTGCGGAGGCAAACCCGACAAAGTACTTCCAACGTTCCCGATACTGTAATAGAGACTGACCTTCCGCAGGAGACGATGGTCCACGACTCATGACCGTAGGTAACCATCGGAATATATATTGACTTGTACACCGAGAGCTTATTCTATAGACTCAGCTCAACTTTAGCCACAACGGCTCCGGATGGTTCAGTCAGAATGGCACTGGCAACTCCACTTCGCCGATCGATCTCTTCCTCAAATTTTCCATCACAAGTAAACACGACTCCGAGGTACTTGAACTTCTCCGTCTGTTCCACTACTTCTCCACGCCGCACTCAGCTGCTAGCCTTTCGAGAGAGCGCTGTAGGTCAGTTTCACAAGATGCCAACAAAACAAAGTCATTTGCAAACAGCAACCTTCTTGTCTCCACATCTCCTACACCTTGGATATTCTATCCATATACAACACAAATAGGAGAGGAGGCAGGAACAGCAGCAGCTGGCCATCCGTCGCGTATGCTCGCAGGCATGACCACAGACTGTTGC